TGAATGGTACACGACCATTTGTTTGCCAGAAGTCATCGGAGAAATTCGAAAAAAGCAGAAGAACAGGCGAATCATTCTTCATCATGACAATGCGAGCTCTCACACATCGACTCAAACAAAGGCATTTCTGACGGAGCGAAAGATCAAACTGATGGGTCATCCGCCGTACAGCCCTGATTTGGCACCCAATGACTTCTTCTTATTCCCACACATCAAAAATAAATTACGTGGACAACGATTTTCGACCCCCGAAGAAGCGGTTGATGCATTCAAAACGCATGTTTTGGAGTTACCTCAATCGGACTGGAAAACGTGCTTTGAAAATTGGTTCAAACGCATGCAAAAGTGGAGATCATCATGGAGAATATTTTGAAAAACAATAAAACCAATTTCGATCCTACATATTTGTTTTTTCATTATTAGGCCAGAAATATGAAAAGCAACCCTCGTACATACTAGAATGTGTGTGATCACTAAACATATATAAGAGATGATGCATGTTTCTTTTTCATTACTTATTACTCTTTTTAGATGTTTTTGATAAAACATACAAAATAACATACGCTGGGAAACCTGTGTATGTTGAACACATGTGAGACAAACATTTGGTGTTCCAGTTAGACAAGGTTAACTTATAATGGGGAAACCAATTCCTTTTAGCCAGTTTCGTACTTGATTATCAGATTACCTTTTGAAAGATGATTTAGTTGCAGAAGGGATTAAATTAACAAGGTTTTACTTTAATATTGAATCATAAAAAAATCGGATTATTAGGTCTGGATTCTCACCTCTAGGTTACCCGCTGTCCAACCTTCTAGTTCGAAGATTTAAAAGAGTAGTTAAAAGTATGTAACACAATGTTGTTGGAAATAAATGTAAAGTGTGCTTACAAATTCGCTTGGTAGCAAGTATGCTAAGGAAAAAGAAATTAAACATATTTATTAAAAATTAATATTTATTATTTTAGCTTCAATCGTTTCCATTTCATTCAACAACCACACTATTTGATTTGTAAAAGAGATTAATATTAAAATTTTGTGATAGTAACTTCTTTCTTGTCTAAGTGTTTTGAAGGGAGATCAGTTTTTGTTTCCACTTTTGTGTCTTTTACATATGCTGGATCATATGGTTGAATTTCAGCAGCGCCTAAAGTTAGGAAGATCGTACCAGATACAAAAACAACACATGATGTAATAAGGAACATTTTATGCCATTGGATCATTGTTTGCTAAAATAAAAAATGCGAAATAAGTTACCCATACTTCATTTTTCAATGCATTATTAAGGATGGTTCAAAAATGATGTCAAACAATGTAAAGGCAGGTGGAAGCTACATAATAAATTAGCATATTTCGTATAGTAACGTTTGAGCTAAAATACAGCGTTAAACCGATAGAGTGCGCTATTGCTTACTATGTTGTGTTGTTGTTACACACCCCCCTGGAGAAGGAAAGCCTAGACCAGGTCCAGAAAGCCCCATCGCGTCAGTTCCCCATATATCAGCAGAAAGTCCCGATCAACCAGCAGCTGCTTAAAAGAAGCGCCAAGGCAAAAAAGAAGGTGATCAGGACTAGCAGGCTGTGAGCAGAAACAAGGTTGGAAAGTCTTCTCCCCATTTTGAAACCTTAAACACTTAAGATGGCCACTACGAAATCTGGTCATGGCCGATTGGAAAGGCCGAGGGTCGCTGCATGTTAATGATAGTCCAGGGCGGTTGCCAGCATACCAATGATAGGATGGAGTACGGCGCCACACTGGAAGAAAACGATGTTTTAATTGCATACTATTAAACAACAGTCCATGAACCACTTTGAATTTGGTACCCTTGTTGGTCATTGCTCTTTCGACCAGCTGTTGTAAACTGTAATTGAATGTAATTTGATTACGAACTGTTCGATTTTGTATAAGAATGTAGATGCTAAAACCCAAAGTATACATAGAGCATACAGCATAAGCATTAATCATAAGTAAGCAAAAAATAAAGTACGACAAAAGAAAATGATTTATAAACAGTTTGCAGTAGTTACCAATCAACAGTTTACAATTATATTGTAATCAATTTCAGATTATAGCAGCTGATCGAAAGTAAGTCATGGAATTCGATCGACATTCGTCATGGACTGTAAATACAAAATACAGTTAAATAGAGATGGCATTAATGAAGAATTACAATATTTTTTGCTCATAATAATAAGAAATCTTCACAAAATTCATCAAAAATAAGTAAATAACATAAAAAAGTTTCATACTTCTTCTTTCGTTAAATGCCCAATAAGAATAGGCATTATAAAACCGGATAAACTAGCTATTGTGCTTCCTAATCCCATAATAATTCCTGAAAAATAATAGAAATGTTATTTGTAAATTACTAGCAAAACTTTGCTGGGCATTTTTATACAATGGTACACTGAGAAAAGAAGCATGGCCAAAACTACCAGAATTTGAAAATATTTTTCCTTGCTTCTGATTCCGGAGGAACACTATGAATCTCAATAATTTTTACCGAAGTGCTTTGATAAAATTAATACTAAAATATGGTTTTATAACGAGGGATAAAATTTGGTAAGTGTGGTAAAATTTGGTAATTTTATCATGATAATGTGATAATGTAGAGCATGGCATAAAACCCATTTATTTGGTTAAATTTACTTTTCAGTTTCGTAGTTTTTACTAAAAGTGGGACAAAAAGAAAAATAATTTTAAAACCAGAATTATCGATTAATTATTGCAATATTATCGTAAATACGTTATATTTTAATATTATTAACCAGAATTTTTTTAACCCTTGAAATGTCAAATGTCATCACCGTACAATTATTTTACCAGAATTTTTTTTTCTCGTGTATATTGAGTTGGATGATTGTTAACTTAAAGAAGGAATTATTGACACTATTGTCATTTTTCAAAAAGTGCTTCAATGGATCACATAAGTTTATTTTTACTTTTAATTATGGGACAAATTTTGTTAGATATTCTTAAACACTGATATATTTTATTGCATGAATGTGGGCATAGAGGAGGAATTATTAAAACAACTGTGATTTTTCAAAAAGTGGTTTTTTAAATCACAAACTCTATTTTTAATTATGTGTTTTGAAAGTTTTATAACGATACCATTATTAAAGTAACAATATTTTTTAGCATTATTAATCGTTGTCCTTTATCTCGCTTTACATTGTTAGAATAAGCAAAAAAGCTGTTAAAAGTTCAACCCATCAAAACAAAGATTAACTGTATTCAGCATCCTTCAGCACAATGCTGTTGCTAGAGAACAACTTCTGATAGTTTAAACTATCCACAATCAAGCAATTTCCTCAGATATTTATTTTGTTAGAGGGATCGTAAAATCTTATTTCTTCAGCATCTGTTTACAGATGTACAGTATTGATGCAGTATTAATAGGTATCAAATAAATTACTATAAAATTTTGCATCTGTATTAATGCATTTGCTATACATTAAAACACCATTGACAACAATAATAGCATGAAGATTTCTACTTTTTTTCTAAATGAACATGTGTTACTAATTTCACAATGTAGTTCAAATGGTATGAACCTTAAACGTTAGTTGATACATCAACGGCTACTATCAAGCACGAGAATTTTTTATAATTCTTAGTATTTAATGCTGATTTTACAGTGTAGTTGAAACATCTACTAACCACAAAATGTTGGTGATACATCAACAACTACTATCAAACATGAAAAATTTTATAATTCTTTGTATTTAATGCTGATTTTACAATGTAGCTGAAACATCTACTAACCACAAAACGTTGGTGATAAATCAGCAGCTACTATCAAACATCCGGCGAATGCTATCCCTACACTGCCTGCCGCCATGAAAAGAAATATTTCGTTTACAATTCTGTTGCATCCTGATAAATACAGACCAAGCATTCCAAGAATGTATAAAGAACAACCTGAAAACCGTAAAGGCTACTTATAGTAAGTTGTTTTCTAATTTCATTGAAAGATAAATAATAAATATAGATACACAAAAATAAATAAAAATTATTCTTATAGATACAAATAAAAAATAAAAGAATTTTCATTTTGAATAAAGGTTAGATGCATTATTTATTTGATCCAACCTAATTTATTACTTATATTTATGAATATATTTATTAAATTCTTTTTTGCGAAATCTTTATTTTTTTCCAATCGAAATATGCAGAGTAATCTGGTGTCAGTAATAACACGGTACTAAATAAAATGGTGGCTTAGTTTATACCCACCACTGTCCACGACTTTCACTCGAAACACTTTCACCGTTACGCATAATTTCAAGTCCTATATTCAATTTCTGTATTCTTGAATGGGTCATGGCTATCGTTATAGCTGCTTCTCTCTTGTTCTCTATGAATTTTTTCTTTCAATGCTTTTTCTCTATATCATTCCTTTAATTTTTTAAAGTATGATAAAGATGATATTCTTTCAATTTTTTAAAGTATGATAATGATGATACATCTTTAAATCTTATAACAAGAATCTTATGACAAGAAATTTATAACACTGTCTTGAGGAAAACTGCCCTTAAGAAAATACGTGTAATTATTTTTTTGTAGATATATTTGACTGAATATAATGAGTAATTAACTTTTTTTTATTTAGCCATTTCCCAAATTTTAATTTATCAGTTTTCCACAAAAATCTACTTTTAAGCTTGGCTACTATACGAATTTTAATAGCACACAATATCCACTTACAAGAAATAGACTCTCTTATTAATAGTCTGTAAGTGTTAACTTGGTAAACATTCTGGCTATATTGGCGACTTTTTTTTTTGGCGTCAAAAGCCTTAGCTTTTCAAACTTTCGAAGATCTAGATATATTAGAAAGCAAAGTATATGAGAAGTCAATAGAGGCTAGGTGGGATTTCTCCTGGAAAATCTGCACATAATGGAACATTTTATTATTGATGCAAGGATCAAAGTACCTTCTCACACGAATCAAGTACCATAGTTTTATTTAAAGGGCAGATTTACACACCACTTCATTTTAAAATGAGAGCTTCTTTGTTACATTTGGGGTATTATTAAAAAAGAATACATACATAAGAAATCAATTTCTTTGCATCGTTCGATAAGTAATGAATCCATCACCTTTTTAGAAAAATGACTCCCTGTACTGCTTTAAAAACTAGAAGAATATGAAAATTAGAACAAGCTTAAAATGCGCTTAATTTTTAAACCATATTTCCGCAAAAGGGTTTTATAAAGGGATATGGTTTATTTGCAAAAAAAAAAGAGGCATTAAGAGAATTATTTATTTCATTATCCTCAAAGATATATTTTGTTCTGTACATTCATTAAAAATAAAAAAAAAATTAGGAAATAGCATTTATTAGTGCAAAGTTATCTAGTTAAAACTGCTATCACCTTAACTAGCATCGTAATTTGCTTTATTAGTCAGGTTAAAGCCCTGTGTTTATTTCGTAGTGTATATTCCCTAAAATCTACAAAATAATAATAACATATATACCAGGAAACAATATCAAAATAAATTAAAGGATAAAGTCTGTGGTCTTCATATACATATATATATATATATATATATGAGAAAACGAAAATTCATCTTTGAAAATTTGATTAATATCAATTATATATTTACAGGATGTTCCAAATTAGACTGTCTCCACTTTCGAAAATTTATAGAAGGAAAACAATTAAGGTTGAAAAAAGAAATACTTGCAGAAACTTTCTATGATATGGCATAAAATCTCCCCTATTTTCCACTTGATTTTAATTCATAAAACTTCGACAAATCGTCCTGAAGATGGTAAGCGTTTAAACTAAAGAAAACTATCACAAATTTTTCGAAATCTTTTAACGAATAAAAACTACATTACTACGTTTTTTTTAAAAATTATATTACCTTTATTTACGAAGCATTCATCAACCGCAAACAATTACCGTATAGTCTATTTAATTATATTTTGTTTTAAAAATTTATTATCCGCAATGCGATGTTTAAAAAATGTAGGAATTTAAGTCAGAGGAATATAAATCAGGGGAGAAATATTTATGCCACGTACCTTGTATTTGGTGTAAGAATTTTTTTTTGTTACCTCGTATTTATATATTTGAATTTTAAAAACATCTGATTAATTTATGACTGAAACTGATTTATTATTGGCTGAAAAAACTACAGAATTTATATTGACAATATTATTTAAATTTTAATCAACATATTTTTATTCTCACCTAGAGTATTATATCCTTTTCTCATAAAGCTAATGCTTTTTACATTCCTGTATTTTAGCCAAACAGACAACCAGCATGCTATGAAACCTGTTAATGCTTGCGCTAACTGAGGTCCTGAATTTAGAAGACCATTCTAAAATCCATTAAAGGGAAACAAGAGACACATATAAGAATTAAAATAATATTAAAATTGTAAAAGTAAATAGAAATAGTTCTGTTTGGGCCATAACTCCAAATGTTATGTTTTTAATATTAAAAATATACTTATGCTACTTAAAGATGATAAATTTATGTTATTTTTTAATGAGTGAAATTGCGTCGAATTTTTTTTTTCTCCACTTAGGGTGAATTCAATGGTGAATTCACCTACTAAAATCTTTTATTTATTTGTATCAAATGTATTTATTTTATTTAATATGTTTGTAAAGTAATTTCAATGCCAATCTCTACAATAATTTTTTTTTTTTGAAAGCAAGAGGGATTTTTTCATACCAGTGACCACTCGCGCTAGCAGACCCAATAAATCTGACTGGCCGTTATTAGAATATTATCAATAGACAAAATATTTTTGCCCAAATATCTTTCTGTTAAAGTTCATTTCATTAGATAGAATTAATAATATTGGAAGAGCTTGGTAAATCAAAACAAAGTAATTGCGATTATTAACAACCGTCATCTGTTTTTGTTGCATATTTCAGTGATTTTAATATATATTTGTTTCCAAAAGTATTCAAATTTGACTTCACTACAGTATTAATATCAAATAAGACAGGACAAACACGGTCAAAAAGGTAGCACATGCGCAAAAAATGGTATGTTTGAGTTAAAACTCTAAATTAACATATCAATAGAAAATTAAAGAAAAAACTTTGGGGTTCAGTTATTTTTTTTCCTTTTTTTAACACGCGAACAGTCTGGTCGTAAAGTAAAAAAGTGATCAACCATAATTACTGTTAATTTACAATTTACATGGAGGATAAAAGTTCTGGTAAGAAAACATCCGTACTTGTTAAAAAAGACTTTTCAGATACCAAAAAAAAAAAAAAAAAAAAAATTTATTCGGGTTTTTGAAAGAAAATATACGGTATTTATAACCATTCATTTGGTAATATTTACATTCATTTGTTAATTTTATTACGGAAACATTTCACAGGAAATTCTGGATTTCAAACATATAGTAAACCTATTACTTTACTTCCTAACTGTACCACATTTACCAAATTTTATCACAAGTTATAAAACCATATTTTATTGTTAATTTTACCAAACTCATAACCAAAGTGCTTTGGAAAATACCAAGCTTATTGGTGTACCCATAGAATCAGAAACACGTCAAAATTTGCGATACTCTGCTAGTTTTCGCCATACTTTTTTTTCTCAGAGTAATGATCGAATGTTTTCATACGAGGGTTGCTATTTATATTTCTGGCCTTGGCAACAGTAAGTATTGCTAGGCGACCGCAGACGATTTTAATCGAAAGTTTGATATTTTTAAACATAAATTCAGCACACGATTTACCATTATAGCTTCATTTGTGTTGTTGACAGTAAATTGAAAAGTTCTTCTCTTTCAAAAAATGGAATTGAATCGTGAACATTTTCGTGCTATTATTTTTCATAACTTTCGACGTGGATTGTAAAGACAAGAATGCTTCGATGAGCTTAATTCTTTATTCAGCGATAAAGCGCCATCCTACATCACTGTAAAAAATTGGTATAACGAATTTAATCGTGGTCGATGTTCGATCCAGGACGAATCCCGTGCAGGTCATCCAAAATCCGTTGCTGTGCAAAGAAAAGATTGATGCTGTGCGTGAACTGATAAAGCAAGATCGTCATGTGACATACCGTGAGACAGAGGCGTCTTTGGACATTAGTATGACTAGCATCAATAAAATATTGCATGAACATTTGAGCGTAAAAAAAATTTGTTCACGTTGGATCCCGCATAATCTGACAAACGCTCAAAAAAGGTTCGTGTCGATTGGTGCAAGGAAATGTTGGAAAAATACGTTCAAGGTACATCAAAGGCTGTGTATAACATCTACACAG